CTCCGTGGTCCTGTGGCTGGCAGGACTAAATGCTGAAGGCGCATGGAACGCTCTTACCTTCCCACCGACGTGGTCCCTATTTTTCTACTTGCATTTTCTTACATGCTTTCGAAATGCTAGGTTGGCAGAAGCTTGGACGAGGAATGGGGGCTCACTCCATTACACAGCGCTAGGGATTTGAACGGCCGAACTGCCGACTTTTCTGATCGGCAAGCTCAGTGTCTTAGCGACTGAGCCACTGTGTCCCACTAAGAGGTAGTTACAACCATTCATTTACTGGCTGGGATGTGTTGAAAGGAAATCCTGCGACTTCACAAAATGTGCCCTATCCTTATTTCCCCTCTTGAAGCTCCAGACATCCATTGTCTGTGAATATCCTCAGCTGCTTTTAATTGCAGAAAAACTGGAGCCTTGCAAATTTAGCAGCGGCTGATGTCATTCAATTTAAAAATACAGGCCGTCCTCGACAATGGAGCCCAAAATTTCTGGTGCTAAGTGGGATGTGTGTTAAGTGTGTTTCACCCCATTTCCCAACTTCTCTTGCCACAATTGTTACGTGAATCACTGCAGTGAAGTTAGCAACACAGTCGTTAACCGTCATCAATACGAACCAGTTGCCAAGCATCCAAATTTTGATCCAGTGACCAAGAGGATGCTGCAACGGTCATAAGTGTGAAAAATGGTCATAAGGCCGGGGGGGGGACATGATAGCAGTCTTCTTGTATTTGAGGGTTGGCTACAGAGAAGAGGGGGTCAACCTATGATCCAAAGCAGTGGTTGCCAACCAGTGGGCCAGGGTCCACAAGAAAATTTCGGTGGTCTGCAGAGAAAGGTCACCCCAAAGCAATTAATCCAGGCTGTGCGGGAACACAAGGCTGCGCCACCCACATGGCCCATGGGAACACAAGGCTTGTGTTGCTTGAATTGTGAATAACACGGGGGGTAGTGATGGGAGGGGGGAAGGGTGGAGGGGGGGAACTTGCCCCACTCGCCCCATGCACCTGGCCTGGCCACCAAGCTGTTTCTCTCTTTCTTCTTCTGGTTTTGGCTACACACAAGGAAAACAGCAAAAGCCTTCCTTTCTCTCCCCCAAACTCCGCCAGAAATGAGTCTTTGGGATCCTGCAAGACCTCCTGCTCCAAGAGGCTTCGCTAGAGTTGCCAACCTTTTGGACTTCAGGAACCACCAAACTCATAATTTTAAATCCCGGCGACCAGACACCCTGGGAAAATCCCAAAAAAAGTCTGCAGGAAAATTTCCCACCCTGTTTTCCTACCAATCGATCGTTCTTTATTTGGGATTGCAGGATACCGTCTCCAGCTCCATTCTCAGGGGGAGAGAGACTTTTGGCTTCATGCAAGGAAAGCAGCAGAAGTCTTTCTCTCCCCCAAATTCCACTAGAAATGAGTCTTTGTGACTTGTTGCGCCAGAGCAGCCTCTTGGAGCAGGAGGCCTTGCAGGGTCCCAAAGACTCATTTCTGGCATAGTTTGGGGGAGAGAAAGAAAGACTTCTGCTGCTTCTGCTGCTTTCCTTGCATGAAGCCAAAAGTCTCTCTCTCTCTCTCTCTCTCCCTCTGAGAATGGAGCTGGAGATGGTACCCTGCGATCCCAAATAAAGTACGATTAATTGGTAGGAAAACAGGATGGGGCATTTTTCTGCAGACTTTGGGGGGGATTTTCCCAGGGTCTCTGGTCTGCAGGATTTAAAAGTATGAGTTTGGTGGTCCATGAGGTCCAAAAGGTTGGTGACTCCTGCTCCAAAGCACCTGAAATCAGGACAAGAAGCAATGGATGGAAACTAATCAAGGAGGGAAGCAACCTGGAACTAAGGAGGAATTTCCTGACAGTGAAGACAATTAACCAGTGGAACTGCCTGACTCCAGAAGTTGTGGATGCTCCAACATTGGAAGTTTTTAAGAAGAGATTGGACAACCATTTGTCTGAAATTGTATGGGTCTCCTGCCTGAGCAGGGGGTTGGACTAGAAGACCTCCAAGGTCCCTTCCAACTCCCTAACTTGCCCTGTCAGTATTCATGGGAATATTCTTGCTGGTTCCTTGATAGGTTGCTGTTTAGCGTTAGCTTGTTTGTCTACATCCTTGATTGGTTTACTCTATTATTTACTTCTGATTCTAGGGTTAATCTTCTAGTATTAATCATATAGCATTCATCTTGGTGTTAATCTCTGCTTATCTCAGTGTTGATTGCTGATGAGGAAGTGTTTTTGGTGCGTCTGTTTCCTTTTTGGCTTTTGGATTGTCTCTTTTGAGTGATATGTAGATGTTGTTTATCTCCATGTGCCTGTTGATGGTTGATTTGTCTTAGTGCCAGATCTCCAGAAATTCTCTGGCATTTTCTATCATTAATACATCCAAACTTGGAGGGGGACAGATTGTGATCAACTAAGACTGTCAAAATGTGATCATCTTGATGGATAAAAACAGTCTTTCTTGAGTCAAAGTAAATTTGAACATTGTTGTTTCTCAGCAAGACCATGGCTGTATTTTGCTATTGTCCCTCCTTAAGAATGTGTGTGTATTTTTCAACTTATACAAGATGTTTTACAGGTGGCACCTCCACCCAGCAAGGCTTGCCAAAATGTATAAAAACTTATCACCAAAATGTTGAAAGTGCAAGGACCTACCAGGTACATTCTATCACATGTGGTGGGCATGTAACTACACAAGAAAATATTGCAGATTGATACAGACATAGGAGAGCACATTCCGTTTAAGCCAGAATTATTTCTCTTAGGAATAATAATGGCAGAAGGTCATAGAAAAGGTCTAACATATTGAACAATACATGTATTGACAATGGTGAGAATGGTATATGCGCAATATTGGAGGAATGAAATCATACCACCAGAAAGAGAGATAGATAGGAAGGAAAATAATGGCTTGTGCAGAATTGGATAGGCTAACCTTAAATTGAAAAACAAGGAGGAATGAGATTATCATGAAACATGGCGTAAGTTTTATCAGTGGGTGCAAAAAAGAAGGAAAGGTTGGAACAAAAATAGCTACCGTAGGATGAATAGAATCAAAAAGTAAACGTTGTGTCAATAATATGAATGTTAATGGTCTAGTAATAGGTTTGCATGTGAAAGATCTGAATAAAAATAACAGACTTTAAAACCAGGATCCGTAGAAGGCTTTATTTAAGATATTTGCAAATAGGACCCCAACTCCCAATTGATTAGGAGAAGGAGACACTGCCCTTAAGATGGTTGCAAACATTTATAGAATATCACATAGAAAAGATTACATAATCCTTCCTGTTTTTTACACATAGGATTTCTAGGGACTTGCATCACCAAGAAATGGGTAGACCTGGGTACTTTTCCAACCTGTTACTCCTCCAAAACTAATATGGCAAATGTAACTCCAAAACAGTTGCGTTATGTTGTATACTTATAAGTTGTAAATAATTACATATATATATATATATATATATATATTCTTAAGTTTTCACAGGTACTTACATGTATGGCATTCAGCTTTGTTCGGGTATTTTCCCATGTCATTGTAGTTGTGCTTTTAAAGTTGTAGCAACGTTTCGGCAGAATCTCATCTGCCATCAACAGGCTTCT